GAGGTGTTCCGTGATGACTCCTTATGCTACTTGTGGGACCATATCCAGTGCTGGGGATCCAACTGGCATTAGTCATATACAAGGCAAGCCCTTAGCTCCTGTACTATCTCTCTGGCACCTATTCATGCTTATAATACTGCCACCCAGATAAAAACCTACAGGATGGGGCTGGAGCAATAGCACAGCGTGTTGGACATTTGCCCTGCACATGGTTCACTTGAGTTTGATCCCTGGCATCCTAGATGGTAACCAAGAGTAAATCCTGAGTGCAGAGCCAGGAGTAATACCTGAGTATTGCCGGGTGTGACCTCAAAAGCCAAAAAAAAAAAAAAAAAAAAAAAAAAACCCCCTACGGGGCCAGAGATATTGCTCAGCAGCTCAGCTCACATGTTTTATATGCAGGAGTCCCATGTTTTATCCCCAGCTCTGCATGGTCCCCTGAGCACAGCCAGGAGTCGTGTCTGAGCAATGGTGGGTACGGTCCCCAAACCAATGCCTTTCCTATCCACTCCCTGCCAAAAATATCCAACAAATACCACCCAAACCCAACCCCCTAGTACATTACCAGCACACTGGTAGCTCTGATGTCCCATAAATCTTTCTCTCTCTCTCTCTCTCTCTCTCTCTCTCTCTCTCTCTCTCTCTCTCTCTCTCTCTTCCCCCTCACCACCTCTTTTTCTGGTGCTCAGCAGACCACGCCAGTCTGGGGGCCCAACCTGAAGCTGGGCTGCCCCAGCGCTTTAAGCCATCTCCCCAGCCCAAGGCACGTCTTTTCTGTTAAGAGTAGCACTGAAATAGTCTCTATTCCAGAACTAATTTGCACTCTTACCAAATCATGCCTCCTGGGTGTCTGACGGGTGTTTTGACTGATCTCTCAGATCAGCTCCGACGCCGTGTTCTCTCTCAAGACTCTGATCTCTGAGCCCTCAATGCAAGAAGAGCATCGTGCTTTGTTGGGGACCCCCCTTCTGGTTTCAGGGTCCAGAAGATGCCCTGAGGCAAAAAGCTACTCGCCTTTTGCTCAGGCGTTCAGTCCTGACGGCCTGCTGGTTGATCATGCGAAAACAGTCATTTTCATATTTGCCCCAAGTTCTATTTGTTAATGGAAGGAGACTAAATCCGTTTCTGATTTTCCCATCAAGACTAGAAGCAGAACAAAGGCTCCTTCCGATAAAATTTCCAGCATGGATGCCATCTCCCAAAATAACCCAATCCATATGTCCCTTTCCATCCTTCCATCTATCTATTCCGTGGCGGCGAGATCCCCGGGAAACAAAGAGGAACAGAACTTGATTCCTGCCCTCAAATAAATCACAATTAAAAGGCAGAGCCAGAACTGAGTAATAAATTATATACGGCTGCGTGATAAGGAGAATTATACAAGCAGTACAAGGGCCTGGGGGAACAGGGGAAAGATACGGCCCAATCTGCTAGAAGAGGTTGGGAAGGTTTGTTCGAGCCCATTTCTGTTTAGAGTAAGTCTTGAAAAATGAGCCAGAGATAAAGGGGTTAAGACATTTAGGGCCAGAGACATTCTCGATGCAGGGCATGAGATGACGAAACACCATTTCAGCTTGGGAGCAGGCCTGAGAGCTCCACACACCTCCTGCAGAAGGCAGGAGGGAGCCGAGGCCAAGGCAGAAAGGACAGGAGAGGCCGCCAGGAAGGAGACTGACAACTGTTTCCCAGTGTCACTGAGGACCACCTGGGGCGCTCCTAGAATGTATGTTTTACATTACATTTAAATCTCACACCAGCCTTCCCAGAAACTCCAGCTCTGAAAGCATCAGGAATGAAGCAAAGCTTAAAATCAGTGAGGGAAGGAGCCAGCATTTAAACAGGCCTGAGTCCTGGAGTAGGAAGAGGAACCTACCACGGAGCCTTAGGCAGTGAGAAGAATGGAAGAATGTTTTTCTTTTACAAGGTTTTTTTTTTTTTTTTTTTTTTTTTTTCCTTTTTGAGTCACACCCGAACAATGCACAGGGCTCACTCCTGGCTTTGCATTCAGAAATTATCCCTGCCGGTGCTCGGAGGACCATATGGGATGCTGGGAATTGAACCCGGGTCGGCTGCATGCAAGGCAAATGCCCTACCTGCTGTACTATCACTTCAGCCCCAGTTTTGGGGGTTTTGAGGTCTTCTCTTTTCTTCTTTTTTTTGGTTTACTATTATCTTTTTTTGGGGGGGAGGGGGTCACACCCAGCAATGCTCAGGGGTTCCTCCTGGCTCTGCACTCAGGAATTACTCCTGGCAGTGCTTGGGGGACCATATGGGATATCGGGTATTGAACCCAGGTCAGCTATGTTCAAGGCAAGTGCCTTACCTTGAGTGATACTATCACTCCGGCCCCCTATTATTATCATCCCCCCGCCCCCAATGATACCCTCATTGATGGAACGGTTTTAAGTCACGGGCCCAAGGTTAAACGTTTGCTTTAGGAAGGCCACTCGGAAGGGGCTGGAAGACGGCTCAGGGCGTTGGGGCGTGTGCTTTGATTTCCAGCACTGCAGACACACGAGAGTGTCCCCTAAGCAGCACTGAGCTGGGATGAAGCCCCTAAACAGTATACCCCCAAATATAAAACTTTTTAAGAAAAGGAAGCGAGCCTACTCTGGGCTGGAAGGAAAACCAGGCGGCAGAAGAGAAGCGCTGCCTTTGGTGGTGGCTAGGATGGTGAAGACGTGGATCTCAGAAACGTTTAACAGGAGCTTCATTCTTTGTAGGAGGGAGGGTTGGGGGACACACTTGGCTGTGCTTAGGGATCACTCCTGGTGGTGCTGGGGTCATTAAGTGATGCCAAAGATCAAAGCGGGTTGGTGGAGTGCAAGGACAGAGTCTTCTCACTGCACTATCTCTCACTCCCTCACCCCTATCCCCATGCAAAAGCCTCATTGGCAGCTGGGTGACTGAGAGGCCCTGTGTATCGGCTGACACATCGACAGGCTGCCAGTCGATATCTTCAGATACACACACACACACGCACGCCACGGTCTCCCCACCAAAGCCCTTGGATCCCAGGATGCGCACACAGTGCCATCAGGGCAGTTCCAGGATGTCCACGAAAATCCTGGCGTCCTCAGAACCATGGAATCTCCACAGTACAAGCTTGGAAGTTTTTTTTTTTTTTTTGGTTTCGTTTTTGGGTCCCCTGGCAGTGTTCAGGGGACCATATGGGATGCTGGGAATCAAACTCAGGTTGGCCATGTGCAAGGCAAATACCCTCCCTGCTGTGCTATCGCTCCAGCCCCAGCTTGGAAGTTTTAACAAGTCCAGAGCCCACGTGGAAGACCAGTGCTGTGGAACATTCCCCTCCTGGCCAGCAGCCAACAACAGCAGGAAGGTACTCCCTGTGCAGGCTGAAGACTCAGGACAGGGAGGGGCGCTCCCCCCCCCCCCCCCCCCGGGTGCTGCTGAAGGTTTTACTAAGAACAGACAGGGACTGAACTGTGAGCACGTGCAAAGGGCAGTGGCAGGTACAGGAATAGCACCACCCACTGTCTCATCCACTGCCCCACAAGCCTTGTCACGGGCCTTGGGCTCCTCTTCCCGGCAAGGGACACCAAGAGGAGAGGACTCTCTGGAAGCCTCTGGTTTCCTGGAGGCAGACTGGGACAAGCCACCTTTGGGAATCCCCAGGAGCCGTCCCTAAGTGGTGCCGACCCTGGGTCCCTCATTTGGGAGTCCTCCTCCTGTGGGACTACAGTGATGTGACCCCACGACATGTGCAGAATCCACATGCCCCTTTCCCCCACTGGGACATGCTCTTTTGTTTATGGTTTTTGGGCTGCAACAGGCAATGCTCAGGGCTCAGCCTGGCTCTGTGCTTTGGAATCACTCCTGGCAGTGCTTGGGGGGACCCTATGGGGTGCTGGAGATCCAACCCTGGTGGGCCGCGTGCAAGGCAAGCACCCTACCTGCTGGATGACTGCTCTGACTCCGGCACGTGCACTTGGAAAGATGAAGACGAGCTTCCGCTTTGCAGCTCGATGCCCTGGACAGCGGCTCCCGCGCCCACCCAGTCTCACTCTCCCAGGCTCTTGCAGGAAGGCCCCTAACCCTCACGCCACCTTGCCCTTGACTCTTTGTTCTGTTTTGGTTTGAGTTTTGGGCACGGATCGGGGCTTCCTCCTGGCTCTGCACTCAGGGATCACTCCTGGCAGGGCTCGGCGGGGGAACCATATGAGGTGCCAGGGATCGAACCTGGGTCAGCCGCATGGAAAGCAAATTTCCCGCCCACTGCATTATCACTTTGGGACCCTTGGCTCTTGTGTTCCGTGAGTGAGATTGCTGGGGGCTCAAGCCCAGGGCCTCACACATGCCAGACCAGGCCCGACCACTAAGCTCCAGGCCCAGCCAATGGCTTTGGTAAGCTTTGCCAGGTTGGGGGCCAGGCTGGAGACATCAGGTTCCTGAGCTCCGAAGAGCTCAACTTACGGCCAAAAGGAGAGGTTCTTTGATGCTAACTGTGTCCCCTGAGCTGACATGATTGTCTGCAAAAGCCTAGCCTTGCCAGGCACTTTGGTCCTGCCAACCTCCACCCCTACTGCTGCAGTCTCTTCCCTGTCTCTCAAGTGCCTCTCCAGTGCTCAGTGAGCAGAGTTAGGGAGGACTCTCCCTTGAGGTCCCCCAATCCTCGTCCAGCTGTGCAGATGTGATCCTGTGTGGTCACCTGCTGGTCACTCGAGCCTGTGGCCTGTCTGGGACCAGAGGAGGGAGATGGGGGGATGGTGGGGTGGGACGTTGCCTGCCAGGGGCCAGGAGAAATGGCTGAGTCAGAGGGTGGAGCAGAAGAAATGACCTCCTCACGCCCACCTGTGGGGACCCCTCTGGGAAGTGAGACCCCGACCCCTACAGACCACATCTCGTCTCGTGGGCTAGTGGCGAGGGTAAGAGTTGGGAGGAGCAGGTGTGCCACCGAGACCAAGATCCCAGAGGGAGCCAAGACAGGAACCTAGAGCCGGTGCCTGCCCCGCCAGCCCCTCTCCCGGCCAGGTACCTACCACGTCGTTCGGAAGGCTCTGGAGGTCATCGAAGGGAGTCTCCAGGGTGTTGGTGTCCACATTCAGGATCACGACGTCATCCAAGGCCATAGTTCGGACCTTCTGCAAGTGAAACAAAGCCCAGGAGAGAATCATTGCAGTGCTGGAGGATGGAGGGTCCCTCTGGCTTCCCCAGGGTCGGGGGTGAGGGGTGGGGTGCCTGTTGCCGGCTGATGGGAGCTCAGAGCCCAGGGCCCTGAGCAGAGCAGCCCCGGGGACCCGAGCCTATGTTTGCGTTTGTGTTTGGGGCGGGAGGAAGGACAGAGGGACAGGAGGGAGACAAGTCCCTGCTGGAAGGGGCTCTCCACAGCCTGCAGAGGTCCTGGACGAGGTGGGGTGCGGCCAAGTGTCTCCCCTGGGACACCTTTCCCCTCTGTTCAGAGCTGCCAGCCCAGTCCTGGCTCCCACAGCCAAGCTCTGTTCACTGGCCAGCACTTCAGAATTGCTATCTCAATTCCCCATTTTAATTTATTTTTTGGCTTTTTTGGGTCACATCCAGGGATGCTCAGGGGTTACTCCTGGCTCTGCACTCAGGAATTACTCCTGGCAGTACTCAGGGAACCCTATGAGATGCTGGGAATTGAACCCGGGTCGGCCGCCTGCAACGCAAACGCCCTCCCTGCTGTGCTATCAATCCAGCCCCCTCAATTCCATTCTTCTGTAGACAAGTACCTTGTCCAAACTGGGCGCTCTTGGCCCTGAGAGATGCCGTGACACCAGGGCCCTGGACATCTCGGTGTGTGTATGGGGGTCACTGTTGGCCATTCAGAGCCATTGGGATGATGGTGTCGGGGTGCCCCCACCCTCCCTGGGCCCCGCTGACAGCAGTGGCGAGGGAAGCGGCTGACACCTCAGCGTGCCAGTGCCGTGGACACAGGCCCTGGGAACTCCCCGCCGTCACTAGCAATCACAACGTCCGTCCTTGCCTCCAATGAGGCCTTGTGACGCCCGCCTCCTTGACACCCCAAGGTTATCTGAGCCAAGGCTCAAGGAAGCAGAGCCACCCAGCACCAGCTGCCACCATGACTGGTGGCTTGTGTGCCCTCAACCACCTTAGGGGGAGGCTGAGACTCGGCACCTGCTTCCCCATGGGGGTGTGGACCCCTTCAGGGGCTCACTGAGGTTCACCACTGCAGAGTAACCAGTGCTTGCTCAGTTGCTCAGTGCTCCTTGGTGTGGGCAGCTGTTAGACTCCCATCTCTGGGGAGCCATCCACTGTCCACGGTCCTGTCCACTGTCCTCCCATTGTTCATTGATTTGCTCAAGCGGGCCCAGTAACATCTCCATTGTGAGACTTGTTACTGTGTTTGGCATATGGAATATATCACGGGTAGCTTGCCAGGCTTTGCCGTGTGGGCGAGATACTCTCGGTACTTGCCAGGCTCTCCAAGAGGGGTAGAGGAATCGAACCTGGGTTGGCCGCGTGCAAGGCAAATGCCCTACCCGCTGTGCTATCGCTCTGGGGGCCATACCCAGGCAAAAGTTTCAGCGTCCCCGCAGCAGGGAAGGAGCCTCTGAGGGCTGCAAAGTGACTGCTGGGGGCCCGTCCACCCACTGGGACAGGAGACCAGAAGCCTCTAGCTAGTGACTTCTCCGTGTGTGTGTGTGTGTGTGTGTGTGTGTGTGTGTGCGCGTGTGTGTGTGTAGTGGGGGGCGGGGGCACCATGGAGCTCCAGCCATTCCTGATTGTTAGCTATGGGGCCAGGGCTGCAAAAAGGCGCACCCTCTCCTCCGACACGCACGGGAACAAACAGGCCTCATCTGCAGGCTGGACAGCAGTGCGGCTAGTACGACACGAAACATGACCATTCCACTCAGAGTAATTCCTGAGGGCAGAGCCAGCAGTAACCCCTGAGCATTGCCTCTGGCAAAAACAAACACCTCCCCCCCAAAAAAAAATTCAAGTTAAATCGTGAGCCATACTCTGGGAGAAGTTCCGAAGGCAACCTCCACCCCTCCCACTCCATTCTGCTTGGTGTGCCCCCCAAGTCATAGGGGCACTTGCGCCTCTCCAGTAGGTCAGCTGGTGAGAGCTCCCCCTTCCGATTGCAGAGACAGGCAAGAGAGGCCCAGGCGCTCCCTCATCGAGATGCGATTGGGAGGTGCCCCCCCTCCTTACCCACTCCTCGACTCCTTGGTGTGGTGGTGAGGGGTGGGCAGCATAGCTGGTTTCTGGGCCACACAGAAGCTACCATAGTGACTTGTCTAGAAAGGGGGCAGAATCCCCCCACACCCCACTCTGCTAACTGCTGGGTTCTCACTTCAAAGGCACAGGCACCCCAACACCAAATCTCAGGGGCAACAAGCAGCTCTGTAACTCAGCCAGGGACCTCAGCACTTGAGGAGACGAGGGTAGTGGTACCCCACAATCACTCATTCATCTCTTCCCGCTTTCCAAATAGTTCAAACAGAAGGAGGCAGACGGCACGGCTATGGGATGGCCACAGGGGGCACAGTCATGGGTGGACACAGTTATGGGAGGGCCGATGCTTCAGTAGAGCATGGCCAGGGGAAGGCACAGCTGCCGTAGGGCACAACCACCAGAGGGCACGACCACTGGAGGGCATGGTCGCAGTAGGGCACAGCCACAGGAGGGCACAGCCACAGGAGGGCACAGCCTCAGTAGAACATGGCCACGGGAAGGAAGGCCCCAGGAGGTCATGGCCATGGGAGGGCACGGCCCCACGTGGTCATGGCCACAGGAGGGCATGGCCGGAGAAGGGCATGGCCATGGGAAGGCACGGCAACAGAAGAGCATAGCCATTGGAGAGCATGGCCACGGGAGGGCACAGCCCCAGGAGGTCATGGCCACTGGAGGGCACAGCCGCAGTAAGGCACGGACACAGGAGGGCACGACCTCAGTAGAACATGGCCACGGGAAGGCATAGCCGCAGGAGGACAGCCTCTGGAGGGTATGGCCACGGGAGGGCACGGCCCCAGGAGGTCATGGCCATGGGATGGCACAGCCGCAGTAGGGCTTGGCCACGGGTGGGCATGACTGCAGTAGGCCACAGCGCACGGGAGCGGGGAGCTAGCCCAAGGCGCTGGCTGTTGCTTCTGGACTGGACTGCAATACGGGTTGAGGTTTCTGTGTTCTCAGGGGGGCCCAGGCCCGGAGCCGCCCCCAGCTCTCCAAGCTGGGCTGAAACAGGCTTTTGATTTCTCCCCACTCCTGGCTGGAGGGCTTGCTGCTTAAGCTGTGTGGAGTGTTTACTTTCGCAACAATGGCAGCAGGCTGAAGAAGGGGCGGGGGTGGGGGGGACCTGGCTCTTTCTCTTGCCGAGGCCCGCCAGGGTCCCCTTAGTGACCAGCAGGCCCCCGGAACAGGCCCCGGCCAGGAGCCTGGCTGCCCAGTTTCCTCTTCCAGGACAATGCGCCGCTCCAGAGGGGCTGGGTGGCTCAAGGGCTGCGTGGACCTCGGCGTTCCCAAGGGAAGGCCGGAGGCCAGTTTGGCCGGACACTGCCAGCTCTCCAAAAGGCTTGGGAGACAAGGGGGACAAAGGCAGGCTAAAGAACAACCCCCTGAACCAGGGCAGCTGAGAGCGTATGGGAAAGAAGGGGCTTGCCTTGCACGGGGCTGACCCCAGTATGATCCCCCAAACATCACCAAGAGTGATGCCTGAGCACAGAGTCGGGAGTGAGCCCCGAGCACTGCCAGGTATGGTCTGAGCTCTCTCCTCTCTCCCGTCCCTGCCACTAAGAAACCAAACCAAAGCCCCTAATGGACAGAAAACCCAACTGGGGCTGGGGGCCAACAAAGCTGCTTGTCACAGCACGCGTCACCCTCAGGGACATATTCTCCTCTCCAGGGAGGAGGAAATGAGGTTCAGGGAGGCCCAATGAACACCCCAAGACACCAGCTGGTGGGCCCCACGGGTGACCCCAGGAAGCCAGCAGGCTCCTTCTGAAGATCTCTGGGCTGCACTGCTCGACGTGGGGCCTGCCCCTCTCCCCAAAACCACGCTTGCCTTTGGCGTGGTGGCACGGTCCGCACCCGCCTCCCGTGGAAGCGTGGCAGACAGAAAAGGCGAGAGGAGAAAGACTCGGCTACCCTCACCCGGGCTTCCTTCCCACCCAATCCCCGCCTCAGAAAACAATCGAGATCATTTTCTCCTGCTCCAGGTTTTCTCATTGATTACAATCTAAGCAACATTCCCCTTCATTAAAAAGCCTTGGGAAAGAGCGTTCCTAATTGCTACAGAATGTTTCACTACACGGAAACCAACCCAGCCAAGCCCCCACCTTTTTTAGGGGGGCGTTGGAGGTGGGGAGAGGGGCTGCTCTTTCCAGGGTGTGAGAAATTCTTCTCTACGAGGCGGCGGCGGGATCCGGAGGCAGAGAGCCCTGTGCTTCGGCACGGATTCCTCGAAGTGGAATTTACTTTCCACTTCTTCAAAAGTGTCCCTCTCAAAGGCGGCTTTTGAGAGAAGATATCTTTACTTCCAATTATTTTAAAGCCATTTCATCCACAGCTTGTGTTTCCTACTCTAAGTGAAGGAAAATCAGCAAAGACACGAGCAGATGTCAAAATAGTCCTCCCCAAACCCTACCCAATTAAAACACTCACTAGTACCGCCGCGCCCCCAGACAGCTCCCCGGTAGCTGGTCCCACCAACACATTCCCTCTCTTTTTAGTTACAGCATATGCCAAAGCTCCTCTGCGGACCCTCCCCCACCAGCCTCCATAGACCGCGCACGCATACAGGCGCACACACACGCACACACACACACACACACAACCACTGACATGCACACCGGCTCTCCCAACGACATCTCTTACACAGAGAAAGACACAAAAACGGCACCTTCCCATCAATACTGTCAACCACCAATGTCTTCCCTGTTCCGCTTTGTCACAGCCAGACTCTGTCTTTCGGGCCAGGGGAGGGGGAAAAAAAGTGGAGGTTTGTGGGGCCGGCCAGGCAGAGGGGAGCAGGGCCCGCAAGCAGCCACACCTCTGGGCTTTCCGCCCCTCTGTGGCCCTCCTGAACCCTCCATGGTTTCACCCTCCCCGAGAGGGAGCACGATGGCAGTCTCCTCACGGAGCCGTCCGGAGGACAAGC